TGGGTATTTTACAGACCAGTGGAGGCTAGGGCTGCCTGAAATTCTTCTCTGGTTTAATTAGAGGTTTTGAAGTCCTGTAAGAACGCAATTTTCTCTGGGCCAGATAGGAAATCAATTAAGAGAATAAACTTCCAAAATTCACATCCAGATGATGAACAGTTCTACAGAAAACTGCTCAATATCTGCATCAGATTCAGTTAAACGAAATATTACTTCATGGCTAAGAAAGGCTATTTGCATAATTCTCTGGGCCAGATGGGAAATCAATTAAGAGAGTAAACTTCTAAAATTCACATCCAGATGATGAACAGTTTTACAGAAAACTGCTCAAGATCAGCATCAGATTCAGTTAAACAATATATTACTTCATGGCTAAGAAAGGCTATTTGCTAACATCCTAGATGGAAAAAAACTGCTATTAATATATATATATATATATCTGTAAGAAAAGTGGACTGATGTCCACTTGAGTTAAGATATTCCCTAAAATCCAGGAAGACAGCCACAGAAATAGTCCCAGCTGCTACTGTACTTACAAAAGTGTGTGAGAATTGAGACTCTGGTGATATAAAGATGATGTAAAGACTTTAAGAATGGGTAAGGCAGGAAGGTATGTAGGTCTCCTTGTTAATTTTTTTGTTATTGTAACAAGCAAACAAAAATACAAATCACTTTTTAAAAAATTAAAAACCATATGGTTGTATTGAGACCGCCCACCTTGCTATGTAGTTTTGGTGGCACCGAGTTGTGAGTGCAAATGTCTCATAATTCCCTGTTGTAGGATGGGATATGAGATAGAGGTTGGCCATTAGAAAGGATGCTCTGTGGGAACTGAAAGGGAAAAGATACCCACGGATTGTGTAAAGGCTAAAGCTGGGGAGTGCTTGTTCTAGCCCACTGCCAAAAAGACAGCAGATACCTGAAAAATGTGGCAACAGGAAACAGGAATGGATTCTAAACAACTCCCTTTTGTACAAATATGTTATTTGTTGTCTGTACCTAGTGACATCTTCTCCGTGATTTTTTAATCATACACTATATTTTTGGTCCTTTGCTCCAGGGAAAGCAAGCCTGCATTAAAATGATAATTTTTTTAAAAAAGCAATAAATCTGGTGATTTATAGTCTCCAACTGAGATGTGTAAATGATCCACTCTCCTCAGAATATTAAAGCTATTTGCCATTCAAACCCAGATCTGATTTTTGCAGAAGGCCTCTCATGTTAATTGAAGGTCAGATCAATATCACTAGTTGTAGGGTGTTTGGAATACACGCCAGAAGATATTTCCATATTAGAATTCAACAAGACATTACACCAACATACTCATTCTTGCCTGAGGTTAACCTCAAACAGGAAAGAGATATTTCAACTCATTAATCACATTCTCCTCCATATTAGCTTGTCGTGTTGTTGGGCATGGCTTCCACCTTTGCAAATTTAATTCATGTCAAAGCTTGCAATTTCCATTGCTTGCTGTTGCTACATTACAATTCTTGTCCTCTTTCTCTCAGCACTGCTGTTTTCTGAGATCCTCAGTTAAAGAGCAATATGAGTGTTTTTCACTAGATAATGCTTTGCAAACTGGTCCCCACCCACAGCACGATGAAGACTCAGCCGCGCTGTCTCACTTAATACAACCAATGACTTGGCACCTCTCCCCAGGTTTTCTAGCTGTAGATTTGCAACAGAAATCAAGATCTTTACCTAAAACTGATGCAAGCAAAACAGACGATGAGTTACAGCAATTGCCAACTGATGAACTGGGACCCAAATCTTGCCCTCACCTTGATGTTCATTGCAGTCAGACACCTGTCTCCTAGCTGTCAGTGTCTGGAGAGTGAACAAGCTTGCCTGGGCAGGAAGACAGCCTGGGTGACCTCGGTGGTCTTTTGTATTTCTATTAACAAGAAAAGTGCACTGGGAATGGAATCAGAAATGTGAATGCTGTCCACTATAACCCTTTAAATGTGTCAAATGTATTTTCCACTTCTCTTGTTGGATGTGAGTGCACAATCAGAAGGCCCAGGTAATGAGATCTGCAGGCTTTGCTTCTTACATAAAACGCTCATCAGTATTTTATGTTATTAACCTTTGCAGTAAAAGATCACCAGGTCCTTCCCCTCTTTCATTAAAAGCTTTCCTGATAAAAAGAAGGGTCACTGCATCCCAAGTATGGTGTCCCCAGTGATTTCAAGAAGCTTTCTACAAAGGTTATTTGCTTTCATCATTATACATTTTTCTCTCTTCCCTCCATATTCTGCATACATGAGGCAAAGCAGATGTTATTTGCTTTTTAAAGTCCATCATCCCCAATTAAAATGACCAATAATCATTTTGATCAAAGGTTAATGATTACTTTCAGGATTTACAGTTTCCTTCATAGTACCTTGAAATTTGGAGTGCTGACATATTTTGTGTCTCCAAAATGCTACTGCTTTTTAAAACACACACTAGTTTTCCACATCAGATTACAGAGTAAGGCATGCACAGGTATGGCTAAGTATAAATGTTAGTTTAAAGATAGCTTAAAGTGAAACGGTAACCAAGGAGTAGTTGGGAACACCAGGTGAGTGTTTGGAGAAAACTGTGAACTACTTTTTTGGCTATGGGTATTCTCTACTCTCAGTTCCAACAACCACATATAGAAAAGCAGGACTTGTGTGGTGGCTAAGGCAACTTCCTCCCAGAGAAGCAGAGGTTTGCCAAATCACACAAACAGCTCACTAGTTTTACTTATTTTTATATGTATTTGCTCTTACCACATAATTAATTCTATTTTCCAAATGCATGTTAATTTTGAATAAGATTACACATGCAGATTGTTAGAGAGGTATTCAAAGCATAATCATGCTCTTCCACACTGAAAAAGGAGTCAGCTGTGGGATGGGGATTCATATTCTAACCACTGAGAGTTCACGTCTCAGCCCCAGCTGGGCCAGGAGCTAGAGATGTCAACCAAAGACTGAAGAGAATTTTGTTGTAGAAAATGAGAGAAGGAGACCTGGGGAAGGGAGGGAAGAAGAAAAGCCCAAAGAACTCTTTCAGGTATATGCAAATGCTATAAACGTGTACCCCCACCTTTGCCACTTACAAAAACAAAACAAAACACACTTTTAAACATGTTTTTTTCCTGATTAACGAGCTGTAAGTATATACTGAAAGGATATGTTAAAAAAAAAATTGAAAAGCTAAAGAAGATCCTTCATTTTTAATATTGAAAAAAGGACAAGTAGATTATTATCAAACTGAATTGAATTTTGCTTGATACTTCAGGGGATTGCAAATGTAACTCAGTTCCAGAGATCCAAGTACCTAGGTTTATTCTCTTGAACAACACATCTACAAGAGGTCAAGATTAAAATGTGACTTCTGTTGCTTAGGCAGGTGATAAGGCCAGTTAACAGTGCTATTCCTATATGTAAAGTGATTTATTATCAACTTAAGCAGCGAGCAATCATACAAATTGAGACCAAGATAATAAAGTAAAATTAATTCAGAGGCTGAGACATTTGCAACGATTTACATTTGCTTGAGAAGACCTGGATACTGTCAATTTGAACTGACTGCTGTTCAAAAGTGGGAATGAAAGCAAGAGCAATCTCTTTTACTTATGAGGTAGTGCTTGCTACAGCAGATCTTTCAAAAAAATCCTTCCTTTACACATCTCTCAGCTTTTACCATTAAGAGACCATTTGGAACAGGAAAGATCACTCTGAGCTAGAGCTCGCAGTAGTAAGAAGATTCCTTAAAACATCTCCTAGACACATTTTCAGAAGACTATAAATCCAACTCTTATCTTTTCCCCATCTTTGGAAAGAAGGTATTGCATTTACTGGCAAGAACCTGACAGGTTTGATTTAAATAATGAAACGCATATCAAGCCTGACATCATATCAATTCAAAGTCTACAGCATCCAAAATCATAGAAAACACAATTGCCTGGTACCTGAGACAGTAAAATCTTCACAGCTGACTCTCATCTTCATATAGAACATCAGAAAAGTTTGTCATCCAGGAAGATTTATTTTTTTTTTAATAGAAACTGTGAAACAATTCTGTTTTCATTTAAAAATTTCTTAGCTAGAAAACTCAGAGGGAATGAAATCTTTTTCATAATAAAATTAAAATATAAATTAGTAATTATTATTTTATCTTTAACAGATAAACTAGTCACTATAAAATTAATGTAAGCCACAGCAGCCTTACACGGATAATTACACTTTTATTGATCCATCAAACCCAGAATATTTTAACAGCATATTCAAAAGGTTATTATTTACTTTATAATCATTAGCTTAGCTTAGCAGAGCATGTATATACCAAAAGTAAATGAAACATCAGTCAACTGCTTAGGAAGAGAGATGAAGAAAGTAATTATACTTCAAATAAATGAAGCTGTCACATGTAAGTTCAGAGGTACTGTAGCTTGTTGAAGTTCCTTACTGATGGGGAGTGGTGGTCACAGGGAGACAAAGAAAGAGGTGGTCATGGGGGGACAGAACAACCTGGTCTAGTGGAAGGTGTCGCTGCTCAATGGCAAGAGGGTTGGAACTGGATGAGCTTTAAGGTCCCTTCCAACCCAGATCATCCTATGGTGCTTCTATTCTATGACACAAGCTCTACTGAAAAAATTGGTGCGCCCATGTGCACATCAGTACCCACATAAATCCACTTTATCCTCAGTAAAATAAAACCCTTAGAGGAATCCTTTGAACCACTTAACTGCGTAAAATAAGCCTTCTCTGGTACCTAAATCTGGCATTATGCTTGAGTTTGAAACACTTACATGGAAACTTACCATCAATTAGCAGAGACTAACACAGAGCAGCATTATGTGTGACCTCCTGGATGGCAGTACAGCACTTACAAATGTGGGGACAAGGGAGGTCTATAAAAATTTATAGTATAACTACTGTTGTTAATCTTGGAACACACCTGCAACTGAAATATTAGTCTTGTCTTAGCGCCAAAAATTATAAGCAATTTGGTAATTCAGATGACAACCATACAGTGTGGTTTATTTAACATGTGGAAGAAAGCCAAACCACCCTCAGTGGTGAATGAGGGCAGGTGATGTGTAGAGAGACAGCACTACTTTTGACTGCTAGTACATGATAGAAGTATTCAAAAGCACTTGCGATGGACAATAGAGGGGCCAGCTTCCTCATATTCATCTTTACTGATCCACATTTGCTGAAAAGTGGACAGAGATGCCAATATCGAACCCCCAATCCAGACAGAGTATTTACGTTCTGGCGGTGCAATCATCTAGAAGAGAAGTGCAATCTGTTGTAAATAAAGTGACAAGCAGATAACACAGTAAATATCTTTTTGGATGAAATAACTTGGTGAAAGTCTTTTCATCACAGGAGCACAACTCCAATGAAGTAAAGCACCTAAGAGGTAGAAAGGCTGACATATTTTGTCTTCTACCTCAAGTCAATAGAGATGCTATGAAGTTACCATAAGCAGACAAAGATGGCAGCCCATGAGATATCTGCAGATGGCCCATAACACAGCTACCAAAAAATTATACACATATATAAAAGAAAATTAAAGTTTAGAAATATTAACCTAATTTGGTTGTAAATAAAGACCACTGGGACAACACTACATAGAATGGTCTAAGCATTTTTATTTTTTTAAAGTCTAAAGGAATTCTTTTATGTGAAAAAAAAAATAAAAAAAGAAATGTTGAGATACACTGAGATACACTGGCATTGTGTATCTAGCTAAGCACTAGGTAATAGAGCTAGAAGACCTCCTGCTGACTCCCACCTGAACCATTGAACTGTTAAAATGCACTGGATGTACCCCTGCTTCTGCATGCTCCTGTTTCCATTCCTGCCCCTCTGTCTCCTGCCCATTCCACATGTCATCTGCTGCCTGATAAAAAGGACCTCTCTCAATATATATTGTCTTGAGTCCAAGATGAAAGGGTCCTTTCAAATAGCTAAAAAGCTGCAGACTTTGCTTGTTGCCTGGATTTTGGATCTTAGTCCAGAACTCATATTTGAAATGACTTTCACCCTTTTCACTAACGACTTTCACTGATAGCCTTGAAGTCTATAATATTCCCAGTGTGTTCTCAAGTTGTTCACGCCCCTTTAGTATTTACAGCTCCATCTTCTCTAGCTTCATCCCTGCCTCTCTTGTTGTTCCTGTGATGTCTTTCAAGAAGCCCTTTTCTCCCTCATATTCCTATTTCCTCAGGAATCCCACAGGACTCTCTTCCTTAACTGTTGTTTCACATTTTTGCAAAATTACCTCATCAACTCCCATGGCTTCAAAATTATTTTTATTCCAGTACCTCCCAAATCCCTCTTTTAATTCTGCTTTGGCTGACAGGAGGAAAAGAGATATTAAATAAACAGGCTGTCCAAAGCTCACCCAACATCAGGACTTGGGATGCAAGACTTACTTAGATATTCTCTTATGGACATTTTGATTTGTTTATAAGATCTAACTTCCCAAGAAAAGCTTCTTTTGGTGTAAGTGCAGGTGTTCAGAATTACCTTAATCTTCATAGTACTTGGAGCCAAAGCTGTAATCTCCTTCTGCATACGATCACCAATCCCAGGATACATGGTGGTTCCTCCAGAGAGGACGTTATTAGCATAGAGATCCTTACGGATGTCGATATCACATTTCATAATACTGTTGTAAGTGCTTTCGTGGATACCTGCAGATTCCATCCCTGAGTGGAAAGAAGTTTCAAAATGTTATTTCTCTTTTTGTCATCTTCTTTTTATTAGTGTTAAAATGAAAGCAAGGCTCACTAGTCCAAGCTGTCTCCCTTAAAACTCCAGGGTGGGGCAGGGGGGAAGCTATGTGATGCTTAGGAGAGTCAGGAGAGAGACAGGACATACTCCTCACCTTCTTTGTCATTTGTAATTGTACAAGCAAAATTCACTTGAGAGGAGGAAAGATCTCCATTATGGTTTCATACTGGGTTTCTTACTTCCTCAAGCGAAAAAAGAAATTACTGCAATAGTTTGCAATTTTTATAATCTTTATGATGCTGTTAGCTAGAAACAGAAGCCCACTTGGCATTTCAGTAAGCTACCTTGCTTTTGAGGTGTTGGTTTAATTTGAATGTCAATAGAGTGAAGTTAATTTATGGTATTATTTTTTGCTAAAGAAAAGGAACAGACTAGATAAAGTTCTAACCCGATTCCCAGTGCTGTAAGTACTAGACTTTTTAACTAGCTCAACAGGCACATTTTGACAAAGATCTGTGATCCAGGAAATCTTTATTTCCATTGCTACGTTTCTGATGGTGACCACTGTTTAGCACCAACTGTGATCCCTGACACACTTCTGGCAGCCAAATCCCTCTACCTACTGAAGAGGATTTCTCCTGCTGATGTTCAAATACAGAATATTTGAATGTGACTCCTGCTGATGTTCAAATACAGAACGTGGAGTTATATTAATGCTTGAATAGTTTCATTTCTACACAGAAACATAGCTAGCTTCACCATTTAGTTTAATGGAAATCGTACCAAACTGCCTGCAGCCATTTGGCTTAGTCCTCCAGAGTGGAATTTAAGTGGAAAGCAGGAAATTTGTGAGGGCAGTATGAGTTACCACATAAAGTGGTAGTCATCCACTGGATAGAATGGGAATTTTAACACTACAGATAAAACTATAGGAAAATAACGTACAATTTTATTTTTGTATTATTAAATTACAGGTTTATATAATAAAATGATAAATGGAAGCAGCATCTAGATAAAAATCCCACATAAGCAGCACTGTATCAACCAGTCAAGATAAAAAGCATGATCTTCTGACAGTACTCTAAATTATCATCTTAATATGCATCTCTACTGCATTTACAAGAGGTTGAAATCATTTTAGGATTCAGATATTTCTAAACTCACCGGTGTCTTTTAGCCCAGCAGCTGTAGCAGCAATGTTCAGAGCTTCTGAAGAGCTGGCTAAGTCAATAGAAGCTGCATGTTTCTAAGAACATTTGAGGACAAATATCTCAGTTCCTACAGCTGAAGGTTGTCTATACTTTCTAAGAAATTATTCTATTCATTCTCTGTCAAGTCCCTAGAAAGAAAAGTTCTGTCCCACCTATGAAGGATGGCTGGAAGAGAGTTTCTGGGCATCGGAACCGTTCATTCCCAATGGTGATGACTTGTCCATCAGGAAGTTCATAGCTCTTTTCAAGAGAGGAGGAGGAAGCAGCAGTTGCCATTTCATTTTCAAAATCCAAAGCCACGTAACAAAGCTTCTCCTTGACATCTCTCACAATCTCTCGTTCCGCTGCAGACAGCCAACAAGTTTTTAATCAACATACAGTATGACAGTCAGGACACAGATTTTCTCATGCACATTTCCCTGAGTTCATGACGTTCACATGTTTCATTTCGCTCTGACTTCTCTGTTGACTAACTTTTTTGTCTACTTTCCCTTTGCTTTACCAAATTTCTCTCATCAGCAAATAAAGACATATTGTACTTCAGAATACTGTAAAGATTAATGTTTACATGTCTATATCACAAAACCTTGATCAAATCATTTGGATTTTATCCATTGCCAGATACTAATTTTGATCCTCTGTTTGTGGAAGAAGTATGATGAAACACAACAACCTGCTAAATTTGGATTTCCTAATGAGGTGGCATCCTTGTCCTCAATGCTCAACATATATGCTGGAAGCCAAAATCAGGAGAATCCCATTAGCTGACATGAAATGTTTTTCCCAGGCTAACCTAGTGATAGGGATTTGGATGCATCTCACCAGGTACATGCTTCCTCCATAATAAGACAACTAACAGAGCAAACGTATGCATAGTGCCTCCAAAGGACAGCTGATTACCAGTGGTGACAAAAGAGTAGCCTCTCTCCGTAAGAATTTTCATGAGATAGTCAGTCAGGTCTCTGCCTGCCAGATCGAGTCTCATGATGGCATGAGGCAAGGCATAGCCCTCGTAGATAGGCACATTGTGTGTGACACCATCCCCGGAATCCAAAACTATTCCTGGAAAGTGAAAGAAAAGGAGAAGCTGGTTATTTCCCACTGATACAGGGTTTCCACATACTCCATCTTCTCAACTGAAAACACACAACAACAAATAAAGATGTTCACATGGCAATTGCTTCTGTCATTTCTCTAACTAAAGAGCAGCTCACGTGAGACTGAGTCATTAGCACAAACTAAGCAGCAACTGCATTTGGGGATAAAAGACATGGAACATTCAGCAATGTGATTGTATTGTTCTTGCTGAACGGATGCTACCAATAATGATCCTATATGGATGCAGAGGTTTTCATTTCACATGATCCCTCACACTTTACAGACATGATATAATGTCCACTGTAAATAAAAATCTATCTACAAAATTATAAATTTGAATTTGCCATTAAAATAAACAACTCCATTAGGGAAAATATAACAACAGTTTATCTGTGCACAAC